TGAACTTGGCGTTTGGTAGGCAGGAATAGGGTCAAGATAAGGCAGGGGGATTAACTTGTCTATACTGCTGGGTATTGCTTACGGTAAGTAGGATCCTATTATGGAATTACTGCACTGCTTAATGCGTCATGTTAATATTTATGCTATGCTTCAGTTCTTTCTGGTTGGTTTCAGACTTCTACATTCCTAATGCACTGTTTGTGGAATGTCCCATTTTTCGATTGTATCGACTCACTGTTTGTAATCTGCCTTGATTCCCTGTGGGAAAAATAGACTATAAATAACATAAATAAACAGACCCATGTAACTCGATGATTAATATATTGTTATTTGCCATTCGTCCTTGGGATGGGATGTAAAAGGAAATCCAACCTCAGAAAAACCTTTTGGAGTTCTCTGGAATGGTTAACAAGCAGGTGGATATGAGTAATAAAAATTCTCCGGAAGTTACAAGGCTATGTTTAGTTCATGTGAATGTTTAAGCCCAGTGGAAGGGAAAAAGCACCTGCTCCCAGCAGCCCTCAGTCAGAGCAAGAAGCAGCCAGGTAAGTTGCAGAGCTCCCCCAGCCCCCCCGGTCCAAAACAGTCCAGAGGCACCTTTAAGACTAAATTTTATTCAGGTACAAGCTCTCCCTCCTCTGTGAGGACAGATCTGCACGTCTCCCCCCCCATAGCTAGCAATCCAAAACAGTCCAGTGGAGCCTGAGCAGTGGGTGTTGCCTTCTGACACACTTCCGGTGATGTCAGGGGGTGTGGCATATGCAAATAGGTTATGCTAATGAGTTATGCTAATGAGCTCCTGCACCTCTTTTTCTACGAAATGACCCCTGGGTGCGACCATATCAGGAATGTTATGTATGTTCCTAGTCACAGAACCTAAAAAACAAAACAAAACTGCAGAGCCGGAGAAAGGGCAGAACAGGGCATTCAAGAGGTTGTTTAGCCACTAGGTATAAGAGGATGCTGGACTAGACAGAACACAGATCTGATTTAGCTGGGCAGATTTCTGCACTGGCACCAGAGTGGCGGAGGAGAAGGCGCCAGGCACGGTTTAAGCCCATCATCATCTCCCTCACTGCACGGCCACCAGCTGAGTCCAAGGCAACTCTCTGAAACGTTGCAGTGCTACCAGGTCTACAAGTCTGTCTGGTCAAGTAGAACCCTCATTCCTGCACTCTTCTAGAAGAGCCAATTTCATGCTGCCTTTATTGAGTAGGTTTCCCTGCGGTTCGCATGACTTCCACCTGGCGTATCTTAAGAACATAAGAGAAGCCAATGTTGGATGAGGCCCATGGCCCATCCAGTCCAACACTCTGTCTCACAGTGGCCAAAAATACCAGGTGCCATCAGGAGGTCCAGCAGTGGGGCCAGGACACTAGAAGCAGGCAATGACAGAAGCAAAGTTTATATTCCATGCCCTTAGAATCAGGCAGGCAGGCACACGTTAAAAATAATAGCTCTGGGTTTAAGTACTAGTGGGACTATAAACTCTATGTTTTCGCCAAGATGCCTGGGGGCATGTAGGCATTCTAAAGAAAGGTGCCAGTTTGGTGTAGTGGTTAAGAGCAGCAGACTCTAATCTGGAGAACCGGATTTGATTCCCCACTTCTCCACATGAAGCCAGCTGGGTGACTTTAGGTCAGTCACAATTCTCTCAGAGCTGTTTTCTCAAGGGCAGTTCTCTCAGAGCTATCTCTCAGCCCCACCTACCTCACAAGGTGTCTGTTGTGGGGAGAGGAAGGGAAGGTGATTATAGGCCGCTCTGAGACTCCGAGTGAAGGGCAGGGTATAAATTCAATCTCTTCTTCTTCTTCTAATTTTGGTACAGGAAGCCTCAACCCTCCCTCATTTTGTTTGCCAGCACACCAACAGCTGGCAGATGTTGCCTTTTTTGGGGGGGGTCACTTGGGCCAAAAAAGTTGTCTACCCCTAGTTAGAACATGGAAGGTAAAATAAAAACATACTTTACAGTTAGGCCTTGCTCCAATACCTTATGCCACGGCTTTCCAGGTAATAATGTCTCCTGAATGCAGAAATCTAACCAAGAGGCACCAAGTTCCTGATCATTTTTACATACTCCTGTTCTTGGGCATTCCAATTTTTCTTCAGCTTGGTTTTCCATTTCATGGAACGTTTTTAAAAAAGATGGATACAGCAGTCCCTTCGTTTGCTATGGAACACCTAAGGGGGGAAAATCCCATGAAAGGACAGAGTTGAAAATACAATCCCAAGAACTAGGTGAAGGGGAGGTTCTGTCTTAGTGAACTTACCTAACTCTATCCTAGTTGGGTAGCAAAGTGTGGTGAGCAAATAAGATGTTATCAGGGCTGTAATCCGCAACTATTAAAGCTGACAGTTTGCTACTAACTTCTATTGAATTGTATCCACCTAATATTTTATTTTAGTGGCACTATAACAAAGTATGATAATCCATATCATAACAGAGCAGTAATATTAGACAGTTATTCAATGTGGTGTTGTAGCAAGAATAAGCCAGGAACCCCAGAGTCAGACCGCTACTACTTGGGCAAAAGCTCCCTCACTCTCACAGGTAACCTACTTTGCAAGGTTGTTGTGCTGTAAAAATGCAGCATTCTCAGTCTTTGACTTAGAGTAAAACTGTCATACACAATAAAAATCAACATCCACTTGCTCAGAATGCTGATTTGGACCCTGCATATAGTAAAATTTATTACAGTGAAATGTGATATTATTATTATTATTACTCCTTACTGTTTTTGCAACCACAGTCATAAACAGCAAAGAAATGTGACATAAGATTTTAAAAGGAACAGAAGTCGTAAACACATTAACCAAACACCAGCAACTAAAAGATAAAATACCGTTAGCTATACAACAAACAAACACGAAGAATGCAAACATACTATCACAAAATAAAAACGTTGACCATTTAATACATTAAAGCAAAATTAACCCACACTCTAATAAAATAACCATAAAAAGAAGGCAACAATCCGCAGTGATTGAACAGAAATAAGAAACAAAAACGGGAAAGTTATTAAATTTTAAAACCTATGCAAAAGAAACAGGGTGGGGGAGATTCGGGGGGGGGTCGCCGTATTGGTCTGAAGCAAAAGAACGAAGTGTGAATCCAGTGGCACCTTTAAGACCCAACAAAGTTTAATTTCATGTGCAGGCACACTTCTTTAGAAGCAACAGAACAAAGTTTGAGTCCACTGGCACCTTTAAGACCCAACAAAGTTTAATTCTGGGGATAGGCTTTCGTGTGCATGAACACTTCTTCAGACAGATTCAGGTAGGTCGCTGTGTTAGTCTGAAGCAGCAGAACAAAACTTGAGTCCAGTGGCCCCTTTGAGACCAGCAACATTTAATTCTGGACATAAGCTTTCGTGGGCTGCACATTTCTTCAGAAACACTGAAATCCTGACTCTAACTAACTAGTCCTTCCTGGCAGCTAACCCCCTCCCCCATATATGTAAGGCTTGAGGAAAGTGGTCTCAATGTGTCTGAAGGACCGTGCGTGCACATGAATGCTCATTGTTGTTGTTGTTCAGTCGCACAGTTGAGTCTGACTCTTCGCGACCCCATGGACCACATCACGCCAGGCCCTTCTGCCTTCCATCATGCTCCAAAGTCTGCTTAATTTCATGTCCGTTGCATCGACAGCACTGTCTAACCATCTCATCCTTTGCTCAGTGTTCCCTCTAAGCTGAGTTAGTGTGAGCTAGCTCACAGTTCTTTAGCCTCCGGCTCACACACTTTGATCTCCGCTTAGGAAGGATGGCTCCAGAGCAAACTAATGTATGCAGCAGCCAAATGGCTCGCTCACAACTTTAATGGCTGTAGCTCACAAAGTAGAATTTTTGCTCACAAGATTCCACAGCTTAGAGGGAGCATCCTCTGCCATCCATCCCCTTCCTCTTTCCCCTTCCGTCTTTCCCAGCCTCGGGGTCTTCTTCTCCAGCGAGGGCTCCCTGCTCATTGGGTGGCCAAAGTATCTGAGCTTCGGCTTCAGCATCTGGCCTTCCAGGGAACAGTCCGGGGCAGATTTCTTTGAGGACCGACCTATCTGATCTCCTTGCCGTGCCCGTCCCGGGGACTCTCAGGAGGAGTCTTCTCTTCCAGCAGCACCAACGAAGGCTCATCCCTTGAATCAAACTTTGCTGGTCGCTCTTAAAGGTGCCTGTGGACTCAAACTTGGGGTGGCGGAGTTAGAACAAATATGACCAATGTTCCCTCTAAGCTGTGGAGTCTTGTGAGCAAAAATTCTACTTTGTGAGCTCCTGGCATTAACGTTGTGAGCCAGCGATTTGGCGCCTGCATAAGTTAGTTTGCCCTGGAGCCCTCCTTCCTGTGTGAGCCAGAGGCTAAAAAACTGTGAGCCGGCTCACGCTAACTCAGCTTAGTTTGTTGTTCAGTCGCACAGTCGAGTCCGACTCTTCGCGACCCCATGGATCATCTCCCGCCAGGCCCTCCTGTCTTCCGCCGTCTTCTGAAGTTGGCTCAATTTCATGTTCGTTGCATCGATGACACCGTCTAACCATCTCATCCTTTGCCGTCCCCGTCTTCTTTGACCTTCAATCTTTCCCAGCATCAGGGTCTTCTCCAGGGAGTGCTCCCTTCTCATTTGGTGGCCAAAGTATTTGAGCTTCAGTTTCATTATCTGGCCTTCCAGGGAACAGTCAGGGTTGATTTCTTTTAGGATTGACTGATTTGATCTTCTTGCAGTCCAAGGGACTCTCAAGAGTCTTCTCCAGCACCATAGTTCAAAAGAATCTATTCTTCGGCACTCGGCCTTCCTTATAGTCCAACTCTCGGGGGGGGGGGGGGAAGCAAGGGAGAATGAAACAGGGAGAGGAAGGCGTACTGATTAAGAGACGAAGCCAGAGCCGGGACGAGCAGCCGCCGCCGCCCTCTCCCCTCGCGCCAGGCAGGCAAGCAGGCCTCGCTTCGCCTCCCGTTGCCATGGCGCCCGGCCCCTGGCGGCCCTCCCTCGGCCCAGCCCCGCCTCCTCCTCCGCGAGGCCGGTAGTCGGCGCTGGCCTGCCCGCTCGCCCCCTTTCGGAGCCTGCTCGTCTACCCGCGGCCGGGGATGGAGGTGGCGGGAGGCCGCGGCCCGCCATGAAGCCACGGCCGCGCTGTGAGAGGTGGGTGGCGGCGGCGGCGGGTAGGTGGGTGGTCGGGGGGAAAGAGGCTCGCCCACCTCGACAGCGCTGCCGCCAACCCAGGAGCCCCGGGCCCCTTCCCCCCCCCCCTCAGGAGGGTTGGCGCCCCCCCTCCGCGCCGCTTCCAGTCCTCCCCCAAGCCTTGAGGCCCGGGGTGTCTGCGCCCGCTCGGAGGGACCCGTTGCTCTGCTGCGGAGCCCTCCGCGGAGGGTGCTGGGGGGTCGAGCCAAGGAGGGCAGCAGGAAGAGGAGAGGGGCGGCAGCGGTGGCGTCCTTCCTCCCCAGCTTTCCGGGACTTGAGGAGGGGCCGGGGCTCAGGTCTCCGGGAATTACGGCTGCTCTCTAGGCGTACCGAAAAGCCGTCCTCCAGGAGGAAGTGGCTGCTTTGCAAGGGCGGACGCTCGGCGTCGTATAACCCACAGAACTTAACATCCCGGGACTTGAGGAGGTGCCGGGGCTCAGGTCTCCGGGAATTACGGCTGCTTTCTAGGCGTACCGAAAGCCGTCCTCCACGAGGAAATGGCTGCTTTGGAAGGGTGGACGCTCGGCGTCATATAACCCACAGAACTTAACATCTCCAGGAATGTCCCAGCCGGGAATTGGCAACCCTGCCACCCTGTCCAGTCGAGCCATGGAAGTCCTGGCCTAGTAAAGTTAAGGTTACCATATTTAAAGGTTAGGTAAAGGTAAAGGTCTCCCTTGCTCGAAAGCCAGTCGAGTCCGACTCTAGGGTTGCGGTGCTCATCTCCGTTTCAAAGCCGAAGAGCCAGCGCTGTCCGAAGACGTTTCCGTGGTCACGTGGCCGGCATGACTCAACACCAAGGTGCACGGAACGCTGTGACCTTCCCACCGAAGTGGTCCCTATTTATCTACTTGCAATTTCTTGCTTTCGAACTGCTAGGTTGGCAGGAATTTAAAGGTTACCATGTTCAAAATCCTTTCCTTTCATTTATTATTAGCGTCATTGGCCAGAGGTCTTAAGCCAAACAGTTACTATAAAACCATATTTAAAGTTAAGTTAAGGTGACCATATTCTGAAAAGCAAAAAAAACCCCCAAAGGACTACTTGAAACAAGTATTTCCTGACTACTTGAAACAAGTGATCCCTGTGACAAATCTCATTTTAAATACCCCTGCAATTGAAGCTATGGTGATTGCTGCTAACTAGCAATATTCCTAACCTCCCAACCCAAAAAGAGGACATTTTCATCACTTTTTAAAAAAGAGCACAAAAGAGGACAGACACCAAAAAAAGAGGACATTAAATGCTCTCTGTACCTCCTTAAGAGTTATCCGATTGCTTTGTTGTTGTTGTTCAGTCGCACAGTCGAGTCTGACTCTTCGTGACCCCATGGACCACATCACGCGCGCCAAGCCCTCCTGTCTTCCGCCATCCTCCGGAGTTTGCTTAATTTCATGTTCATTGCAGCGATAACACTGTCTAACCATCTCATCCTTTGCTGCCCCCTTCTTCTTTTACCTTCTATCTTTCCCAGCATCCAGTGAGTGCTCCCTTCTCATTTGGTGGCCAAAGTATTTGAGCTTCAGCTTCTGGCCTTCCAGGGAACAGTCCATGTTGATTTCTTTTAGGATGGACTGATTTTATCTCCTTGTAGTCCAAGGGACTCTCAAGAGTCTTCTCCAGCACCATAATTCGAAAGGATCTATTCTTTGGCTCTCAGCCTTCCTTATGGTCCAACTCTCGCAGCCGTACATTACTACTGGGAATACCGTTGCTTTGACCCTACAGACTTATGTTGGCAGGGTGATGTCTCTACTTTTTATTATGCTGTCTAGGTTTGCCATAGCTTTCCTCCCAAGGAGCAGGAGACTTTTAATTTCATGGCTGCAGTCACCGTCTGCAGTGATCTTGGATCCCAGGAACATGAAGTCTGTCACTGCTTCCACGACTTCCCCTTCTGTTTGCCAAGGAGTGATGGGGCCAGATGCCATGATCTTAGTTTTTTTTGTTGAGTTTCAAGCCAACTTCTGTTATCTCCTCTTTCACCTCTGAGGAATGGCACTTTCTGCCATTAGAGTCGTATCATCTTCATATCTGAGGTTGTTGATCTTTTCCCCAGCAATCTTAATTCCCACTTGTGATTCATCCAGGCCAGCATTTTGCATGATGTACTCTGCATATATATTAAATAAGCAAGGTGACAATATACATCCTTGTCCTACTCCTTTTCCTATGCTAAACCAATCAGTTGTTCCATATCCAGTTCTGTCGCTTCTTGACTCTTATATAGGGTTTCTCAGGAGACATGTGAGGTGGTCTGGTACTTTAAAGAACTCTTTAAGGACTTGCCACAGTTTGTTGTGATCCACACAATCAAAAGGTTTAGTGTAGTCAATGAAGCAGATGTTTTTCTGGTACTCCCTTGCTTTCTCCATAATCCAGTGAATGTTGGCAATTTGATCTCTAGTTCTTCTACCTCTTCAAAACCCATCTTGTACTTCTGGCAGTTCTCTGCTGAAGTCTAACTTGTAGGATCTTGGGCATGACCTTGCTAGATTGTGAAATGAGTGCAATTGTGTGATAGTTTGAACATTCCTTGATATTGCCCTTCTTTGGAATTGAAATGTAAACTGATCTGTTCCAACCCTGTGGCCACTGTTGCGTTTTCCAGATTTGCTGCCATATTGAGTGCAACACTTTAACAGTATCATCGTTTAAGACTTTGAATAGCTCAGCTGGGATACCATCACCTCCACTAGCTTTGTTGTTAGTAATGCTTTCTAAGGCCCATTTGAATTCGCACTCCAGGATGTCTGGCTCAAGATCAGTGGATCACATCGTTGTGGTTGTCAAGGACATTGAGGTCCTTCTTGTATAGTTTTTCTGTGTATTCTTGCCATCTTTTCCTAATCTTCTGCTTCTGTTAGGTCCCTACTGTTTTTGTCCTTTATCATGGCCAACTTTGCACGGAATGTTCCCTTGATTTCTCCAATTTTCTTGAAGAGATCTCTAGCCATTCCCATTCTACTGCTTTCCTCTATTACTTTGCATTGTTCATTCAGGAAGGCCTCCTTACTGTGCTGTTCCCTGAAAATCTGCATTCAGTTGGGTAAATCTTTCCTTTTCACCTTTGCCTTTTGCTTTCCTTCTTTTCTCTGCTATTTGTAAAGCCTCATCAGACAGCCACTTTGCTTTCTTGCATTTCTTTTTCTTTGGGATGGTGCTGATTGCTGCCTCCTGTAAAATGTCACGAACCTCCACCCATAGTTCTTCAGGCACTCTGTGTATCAAATCTAGTCCCTTAAACCTATTCTTCACCTCCATTGTATATTCATTGGGGTGAGATCTAGGTCAAACCTGAATGGCCTAGTGGTTTTTCCAACTTTCTTCAGTTTGAGCCTAAATTTTGCAATTTAGCTCATGATCTGAGTCACAGTCAGCTCAGCTTCAGATCTTGTTTTTACTGACTGGTAGAGCTTCTCCATCTTTGACTGCAAATGATACAATCAATCTGATTTTGGTGTTGCCCATCTGGTGATGTCCATGTGTAGAGTCGCCTCTTAGGTTGTTGGAAAAGGGTGTTCGCTATGACCAGTGTGTTCTCTTGACAAAACTCTGTTAACCTTTGCCCTGCTTCATTTTGCTTTCCAAGGCCAAACTTGTCTGTTATTCCAGTTACCTTTTCACTTCCTACTTTAGCATTCCAGTAGTCTTGCTATCTCATTTTTGACCACATCCAACTTACCTTGATTCATAGATCTTACATTCCAGGTTCCTATGCAGTATTGTTCTTTGCAACATCGAACTTTCTTTTCACCATCAGACACATCCACAGCTGAGCATGCTTTTGGCTTTGGCCCAGCCGCTTCATTCTTTCTGTGGTTACTTGTACTTGCCCTCTGCTCTTCCCCAGTAGCATATTGGACGCCTTCCGACTTGAGGGGCTCATCTTCCGGCGTCATATCTTTTAGCCTTTTGTTACTGTCCATGGGGTTTTCTTGGCAAAGATACTGGAGTGTGTAGATCCTGAGACTGATATTAATCACAAAGGTTTTGTTGCTCCAGGCGGATTGCATTCGGCTATTCAGCCAAGGAAGATCAGGGCAGTCCTCAGTGCCTTTAAAAAGAAAAATGAGAGAGGGGGTTAACATGGAAGGGTATGCCTCCTTGGAACTTACAGCCCCTGAACTTGGACAAAAAGGTGGTGGAATTTATGCCCCCAGGGGTGAGGTGGGTTAGGGGTTATGCCCCCTCTGGACAACCTGAGGGGCTAGGCCGTCTGCTTTGCATGCAGAAGGTCCCAGTTTGAACCCCCAGCATCTCCAGCTGAAAAGGATCTTGGGTAGTAGAACTGGGAAGGTCTTGTGGAACCCTGGAGAGCTGCCGGCAGAGTCAGAGGTGGCAGTACTGAACTGGGTGGCTCAATGCTCTGGTTTAAAGCAGCTCTGGCTATTCCTTCCCAGGTGATATACTTAGGAGAGGCCCTCGTTCAGTGCTAAATCACTTGCTCGGCATGCAGAGCACTTCCCAGGGAGGCCCCCTGGCTTGCGTCTCTGCTTCTACAAAAGCTCTAGCACAAGTGGAAGTTTTACACTTGATTTAACCCACGACAGAACATTTAATTAGGATTTTACGGGTCTAGACTTGGTCAAATCCCAGTGTTTGATTCCCAAAGTAACGCTAATGATTCAGTGATAACAGGAGGGTTCTCATGATGAGTACTCGAATCAGAGAGTTAAAAGAGAAGAAGAAGAGAAGAGATTGGATTTATACCCTGCCCTTCACTACCCAAAGGTGTCTCAGAGCGGCTTACAGACTCCTTTCCCTTCCCCTCCCCACAACAGACACCCTGTGTGGTAGGCGGGGCTGAGAGAGCTCTGACAGAAACTGCTCTTTTTCAAGGACAGCTCTTATCAGAACTACGGCTTGCCCAAGGTCATCCAGCCAGGTGCAAGTGGAAGAGTGGGGAATCAAACCTGGTTCTCCCAGATTAGAGTCAGTACACTTAACCACTACACCAAACTGGCTCAAAAAGTATTCCCTTAATAGCAGACTTGTGATCTGGCAACTTCAGTGTACTTTGTGGCATGATTTTAATGGTAGATACTTACTGTGCTCATTCTGGGAACGTTAATATTAGGCAAGGACTCTGTATATACATTTTGATGAATAAATGTCATTTTAACTATCATTTTAACTAAAATCTATCTCCTAAGCCTTTGAAAGACTCAACCCTACAGTGATGCATTAATTTAAGACATTTTTTTTTCTTGAAAACCACATTTTGCATACACAAACCTCTGTCTGTGTAGGCTCCCAAAAAATCCAGGACCAGCTCAGGGAACAGCTGTGAACTGGAAACAATTTCTGCATTTAAGGAGAAACCCAGAAAAAAAGGTCCATTTCTCTCACAATTTTCATCTGCAGTCAAGAATATCTGGAAGACTGGAAGTACCTCAGTTGAGACCATGAGAGCATCTGCCAGTCAGAAGAATGGATCAGTAATCAGATTCAATATAAGGGGCATCCTTATGTCTGTCTCCTGAGGAGGACCAACAATTGGCTGCCCCAAAGACCAGAGAACACCATAGGGACATCATGAAGCACAGCACCGATGAGCTTTTAGAGCTCCTGTTTCTTTGAGGGGTTTCCCCTGATCCACATGTGTTTGGCTCCTTCTAGTGGTCGATTCAATATCAAACAGCCGTATTTCCAGTTTATCTCCCTCCCAGATTTAAACAGCAGGGAGATAAGCTGGAAATAAAGCTGTTTGATATCAAATTGACCACAAGAGGGAGCAAAACATGGGGGGGGGAACCCTGAAGAAACAGGAACTTAACAGTGAGTAAAAGAATGGGGAAAAGCCCTCCATCAGACTCACAAAACATCAGGAGAGAGTGCATACACCCTGACTGCAGAACTATGTCTTTAAAATCCATCTCTTTGTTCTTTTAGGAAGCATCATGCCAAAACCCAGGCATTTGGAGTGACCCACAATCCACCTGCCACCATGCAAGCCCACTCTAACAATCGCCACAGTGCCCCAGGAAATAACGATGCCCCCCAGTGTGCTCACGCAGGAAGGCCGCCAGGAGAAGGATCGTGCCAGCGCGGAGGGGATGTTCACATCCAGCTAAACCCTGCTACGATGGAGGCTGGAGAAAACGCTGGCTCTAGGCAGCACCCGCACTCAGGGATCCATAGTCACTCTCACTCTCATAGCGAAGCAAGGGGGCCGGAAGAGGGCGGCGGGGATTCGGAGGAACACAGCGGCAGCTCTCTCTCGGAGCTCAGATATCTCCTCCAGTGGCTACACAAGAGCCTCCCATACATCTTGATCTTGTCCGTCAAACTTCTCCTGCAGCACGTCATTGGTACAGTACAAGAAACCATGGTGCTTTGGACAATAGGATAAAGGTTGAAAGGGAAGCAGCAGGTCAAACTTGACTTCAGCTCTGTTCACCCTAGGCCAAGGAATAAGAAACTGTTCTGGGTTCTCTATAGAGCAGATTAGCATCATATAGTTTGCATTAAAAAACAACAACATTTTGTGTGATTAGGGTTCTTTTATCTTGGGGACTGGAAGGTGTCGTGCGAACTGACGGCAGTGCCGTCTCCCAGCCACTGGCAATCTTACTGAGCCTCCCTCAGGCCCCTGAGATTTCCACAGGCATTGCCCTCCCACTTTCAAATTTACCTTTGTGATCATGAAGGCTAGAAAAGTGCTTTTGAAAAAAAGTTGAAATTTTCAAAAAAAGTTTAATTTTGAGCCCAGTACCTACATACCTTTGGAATTGTGCTATATATGCAGCCCAGTTTAAACATGGTGCTTCCTGTCTTTGATGGGAGGGATAATATATTTCCCCCTTTTTTTTCAAACATAGTTTGAAACTGAAGCTCAATAACCTCTGCTTCCTTATCTTTTCCCCCTGGGTGAAACAAACTAGTTTCTTTGTAGGATTTGATTTTATCCTTACAACTACCCTCTGATTGGTTTCCATCTTCTGCTGTTCTTTTTGAGCTGTGAAATCCAGAACTCCACAGAGAAAAGAACTGAGGCTCCTCAGATTTTGAAATGACAGTGTTTGCAAAAGCATCCTGTTGTTGATTCTCAATTACCTTCTCCTAAGAAAGTTAAATTTATTTTCCTCTCACTCTGTTTTCATTTAATTCCCTCACTGAGGAAATACTAACAAGTGTTTGATTTGACTTTCGGCCCACCTTTTTGTTCCTTTGTTGTATAAAGAGGGACCCTTCGTTTACAGCACTTTCGGCCCACCTTTTTGTTCCTTTGTTGGTCTATAAAGAGGGACCCTTCGTTTACAGCGGACCAAAGCCACACAACCCAAAAAGCAGAATTCACTGCAGGTAGTTAGGGCACATGGCTGTAAGTTTTGTCACCTGTCTTCATTGCACAGTAGCGCAACAGGAAAATGAGGTGGAATATTGGTGGCCAAGGAAAGAAAGACCAGATTCCCTAGAGAGGCAGAGAGCTATGTATGATGGCCAGATTCCCTAGAGAGGCAGAGAGCTATGTATGATGGCCACAACTAATGGAATGCTCCTAGGGATCAATCCTAAGGAAGTCTACTCAGAAGTAAGTCCCATTTTAGTCAGTGGGGCTTACTCCCAGCAATGTGTGCTTAACACTGCTGCCCTAGGATCCCTCAAATCTCAGCATTCAGCAGATAACTACTTTGACATGTTTAAAATCTTTCTTGAACAGTGAGGTCTAGAAACATGGTCTTTATTCTTTAAATGTAAGTTGGAATTCTCACTAATGACGATAGAGTGCAGTCAACGGTCACGCAGCACATATGCGCATATAATGGGTTATTTTTGTTTTGCTGTCTAAATAATTACAACACACCCTATGGGTATTATTGCATGTCTTACTGCCCGTTTAATTTTGATTTTGCCACATTTTTAAAGAATTCAGTTTGATGCATGTTTTTATTCTTTATTTTTCTTTTGCTTTGTAATCGACCCTTTTTTCCTAATAGGCATTTCTCTGGGAATTGGGCTGCTAACAACTTTTATGTATGCAAACAAAAGCATTGTAAATCAGGTTTTCCTAAGAGTAAGTATTGACCTCTCCAAAGAGGTAATAAGTATTTTTAACGTTTATTTTATCCATGAAGTTGATTAAGTTCTTGAGAGGAAAGGGGAGCCCTGGGTTAATTTTCTTCATAAATGCAGACACAGGGATTCTCCCCCCAAAAAAACCCCCTCAAATGCATCTTCGCCCAAACAAAAAACGTTGGCTTTTGAAATACTAACGGGAGGCTTCATGGAGAAACATTTTGAAAAGGTGTGAAATCAAATACAGGCAAACTCCTGTTATTTAGAATTCATGTTTACCTAGAATTTGTAAGCCATGTTCCACCTTGTTGGCATAAAACTGCTGGAAGGAGACACTTGCACCAGCCAGCTGGGAGTGACGGCAAAGAGCACGCGTCACAGTTTTGTGCCAGTAAGAGCTTCAGATGAGGCTTCAGGCTGATAGACTCTTGGTGTCCTCTCAGCTGAAGGCCAAACTATTCATGGTAGGGGTGTGCGTGTGTTTGTGTGCGGGGGTAATTATTTCCCTTGTGCCATTTCTTCATGTGAAAATCCACTGCCCCGCCTATTCTGGCATCTGACAAAGGGCACTTTGACTCTCGAAAGCTTATTCCTTCTATTTCTATTCCTTCTATTTGTATCCCACTCTCCCCCACTATTGTGGGGCTCAGAGTGGGTCACAACACGTAATAAACAAAACATAATATAGTTAAAACATACCAACTTAAAAATTTCAGAGATTTACAATATCAGATGGCACATCATAACGCTATGACACGGACCTTCAAAAATCTTGTTGGTCCCTAAGGTGCTACCGAACTTGAATCTAATTGCCCTGCCTTGGTTGCTTTCAGCCTCCCAAAGAGAGAATAAGACCCGCATTCTGCCCACACTGTGCTTAATTGTATACATTTCTATCACATCCTCCCTTAGTCATCTTTTCTGAACTGGACAGCTGTGAGCTCTGTAGCCCAGAGGTCACTGTCATGCTTTATAATAACTACCTTGGCATGTTGCTGGAACTGCTGTCCTGTCCTAGAAACTGAACATGGACTAGGAAGGGCACCATATATGAAGCCATCAGTTAGGCAGCGCAAAGACAAGTCTGTATGAAATAAAGCAGGTCTCTCTTGTGATCTTTTTTTGGGTCTGCTAGAGGGTGACCCCCCCCCAACCCCCACCTTTTCTTGTAGGCAAGATGCTCCGATCCCTTAATCATTTTTGTTGCCTTTTTCCCCCCTGTGGTACCGAGATGTGTGACCATCTCCAGTTTGGTTGAACCTTCAAGACCTTTCCCCCCTGTTTAGTTAAGACCTTTTAGTTGAACCGGTAGCTGATTTCATATTTTCCTTCCTGCCATTTATATGTTACTTACAAATTTATTTTGCTACAATTAAATTTTAATTTTATTGCCATTGTTTTAATTGCTTCAAGAGCCACAACTTGACGGAAAGCATCTAAATTATGTACACAAATGACCCATAAGATTGTTATGGGAAGCTTTAACCTGTGTGTTGTTTTATCTCGTTAATGGACTCCGGTGTTGTTTGCGTGCTTCTGAAGTTCACTGTTTTCTTGTTAGCTGCCTTGAATCTAAGGAGATGCAGCAGGAGATAAATATTTTAAATAATAAGCATTACAGAGATCTGGAGACATCGGAATAGAAGAGGTGGTTTTCCGTAACGATGAATGAAGCATAAAAGTTGATTAATTTAATTTCTAATTTAGATCAAGGTTGGCTGAATGTTCCTTGTTCTTCAGACAGGGGTCCCAGGCTGGGAGGGGTCAGCTGCATAATAAAGTTGGGGCGAAATAGAAGAATGGGGAGAAAAGGCACCATGGGGTACGGTCGGATCTCATGAGATCTTGGAAGCTAAGCAGGGTTGGAACTTGGATGGGAGACCATCAAGGAAGGCTCTGCAGAGAAAGGCCGTGGCCAACCACCTCTGCTTCTCACTTGTCTTGAAAGCCTCTTGCTGGGGTTGCCATAAGTGGGCTGCAGCCTGACGGCATACAAGTACAAGAATGGGTTTCAGTGTTCGTGGAAAGCATTTACCTACAGGAGTAAATTTCTCTGAATTCATGGAAACCTTATCTGTATTTGTGAATTAGTTACCTAGTATTTATAACCATCCTGGAAAGGTGCATGTAAGACTCTAGGAAGATTAAAGGAATAGGATACCTTATGTTATTATCATTTAAGAACTATATAGACACGGATATAAGAGCTTGGGTAAAAGTTAAAATATACAGAGGAAAAATGCTGGTTTGTAGTCTTAAAATTTTTAATGTTATATTTATATTGTGTATATATATATAATCTTGGTATTTTTAGAATTGTTTTGTAGGTATGTCTGTAGATACCTGAAATAAAAAAGAAAGCATTTACCCACCATTAAGCCTGTTTACAGATCACTTACAAAATCTAGGAGAGAGGTGGATATTAAAATACAGAACTTCTCTCTATTACAGTTTTCTAAGATCATTGCATGGGTCACCAGGGGGCCAGGTATGACTATCGGAGGACCAGTTGCCCATTAGATTAAAAAGAGTTTGCAATCAGACTACTGGAGGGTAATAAACAACTTTATTTATTTTAAATATGTATATACCTATCTTTTCTCCCAAGCATTTCAGGACCCAAGGTGGGTAGTAATATATATGAAAAAAGATAAAACAGTAAGATGTTAAAAGAACATAAATTTTTAAAAAACGTAACCCCCACCCCCCAGTAGGGTATTTCCCCCTTTGCCCAGGCACTGGCTGCCCCAAAGTTCTCCAGAATGACTTTGTCTAATAGCCAGGAGGGACAGGAGTGTCCATGACCTCTTGGACACACGGGGCACAGCCACGGAGAAAGCCCAGAACATGCCGTACATAAGAACATAAGAGACGCCAATGTTGGATCAGGCCAAAGGCCCATCCAGTCCAACACTCTGTATCACACAGTGGCCAGAAACACCAGGTGCCATCAGGAGGTCCACCAATGGGGCCAGGACACTAGAAGCCCTCCCACTGTTGACCCCCCAAGCATCAAGAAGACAGAGCATCACTTGCCCCAGAGCCCCTATCTATACCTTGTGGTTAATAGCCACTGATGGATCTCTGCTCCATATGCTTATCTAATGCCCTCTTGAAGCTGTCCATGTTTGTAGCCGCCACCACTTGCTGTGGCAGTGAATTCCAAGTGTTAATCACTCTTTGGGTAAAGAAGGACTTCCTTTTATCCGTTCTAACCCGACCGCTCAGCAATTTCATGGAGTGCCCACGAGTTCTTGCAGACAAAGGGGGCAGTCCCATGAGGCCCTGTCAGGAAAAACAGCACTGCTGCACAAGGAATATGGAAGGAGAGGCAGTCCACCCTTGATTTCTGAAACGTCTTTATGCAGCCAAATTTTATCTTGCTATTTATTTATTTATCAAATTTCTACCCCGCCCTCCCAGCCAAGGCCGGCTTATAGCAGATAAGTTAAACAATCAAAAAAGCCACTTCAGAATCGGGCTAATTATGTGGAGTGGGTAGAGCATTTCCTAAAGCCTTTGAAGACTGCAGAACTGTAAGTGAATTGGTTTTGGAGAGTGAACAGCACAGTAGTAATCTGGGGTCTCATCTTTGCAAATGGGAAACTAGCAGGTTATTAACTAATGCCTTCTAAATATCTTACCTTGCAGGAAAAGTGTTCCAGACTGCACTGCGCTGGGTTACTCTTGTTCCTAACAGGATCTTCTGTCCTTCTGTATTATACCTTCTACAATCAATCCCTTCACTACAGGTAATTCACTGCAGGTTTATCTGCAGTGTGAATTGTCCATCTTCACTTTCCTTCTCTCTGCGTCTTTTCAAAACAAGCAACATCTTTCAGGGTGGTGGTTAGAAGGGAGGGAGCCCACTAAAGGGTGACGTGCAACGGTTATAAAATTATGCCTAGTGTGGAGAAAGCAGGTTGGACCTTACCAGTTTTTCTGCTTGCTCTTGCCCAGTTCCTCATCATGCAAAGCTTTTGTCTGTGCGCACCCCGCGATCCTCAGCATATCCTTTCTGGTGGTCAAAAGGGTCCCCTCCTAACTCTTTTGCTCACAGAAAGGCTGGTCAGGTCCAGTCCAGTAAGCAGAAAGAACTTTTCTTCCCTCTCTTATGGTGATAAGGTCCACAGAGGCAGTGGATGCAGGCCAGACAAAGAAATGAAACCTTTCCGCATTGCCCAAATCACATCCTGCAAGATGTGATGTTGACCTCTGTCCTAGATGGGTTTAAAGGGGAGTGGGACACATTTGTGGATGACAGATTTATCAACAGCTTTTAGCCATGGTAGATAAATGGAAGCCGTGAGCTCAAACGCCAGATGTCCCAGTTGTTGGGGAAGCCAGACAGAGGGGAAGACCTGTTACTTTTAAAGGTTCGCCCTCCGCATCTGACAAGACTGAGCTGGTGGGGTACAGTGCTTGGAGTGTCTGGTGAGGATCAGGTTTGACTCTGCCCTCTGCCGTAGAAACTTGCTGCAATGGGCCAGTCTCTCTCTCAGCCTGACCTATATCACAGGGTAGTGGTTAAGATAAAATGGAAGGGTGTGTGTGCGTGTGAGACGATGTAAGTTGCTTTGGTCCCCATTGAGTAGGAAAGTGGGATAGATATATCTAAACAAGTATTGATCCTTGTTCCTGAACCAGCAGGTCTTTTCTTATGTTGCTTAAAAAAAAAATTGAAAAAATTATATTGTTTAAAAGAATCAAGCAGATCTTCTGTCCCAAAGACTGTATTGAAAAACCACTCATGTGAAAATCAAACTCTGATTGGTTTTTGCATACTGTCTTGAATCCCTCTGGGAAACTCCTGGGGGGAAATTAAAATAGTACAGACTACTATTGTATTGCAGGCCCTCCCCTACTCTTTGTAGTCCCAGTATATTTTAAAGAGATTGCTCTGACTGCAAGAACCTTATTTTGGTTTCCCTTGGCCTCCCCCCTCTATTACAACAGTCTCTTACTGTCTTCCTAGTAAACATCACGTCAGCAGTTTCCACTCGGAAGAACAGCACGTTGTGAAAAAAACCATGAGACTCCCTCTCAAAATGGCAGCCCCGTGTTCAGTATGCATGCCCCCCCCCATTTGTATAGCTCAACTTACCCTGCATTCTGACACCATTACAACATGCATTCCCCCTGTTCCCAGTCCACATGAGTGGCTGGTGATGGTGATGAAATGGACATCATGATTATATGTTTCTAGATCAAGATGGGCAACCGTGTTAGTTTGTCCGTAGCAGTAGAAAAGAGCAAGAGTCCAGTAGCACCTTAAAGACTAACAAAATATGTTGCAGGGTAGGAGCTTTCATGAGTCACGCAAAGCTCATACCCTGCCACAAATTCTGTTAGTTTTTAAGGTACTCCTGGGCTTTTGCTCATGTCAGCGTCTAGGCAATTTGAATGAGTTGCTGCATAGGAAGGAACCCAACACAGGGCTGCAATGTTTGACGGCAGTCCACGTATTTCCCTCTTAAGAGTTTCCTTGAAGCGCATGGGGTGGTTAGATGTGGACGTGCTAGCTGACAGAGCTGTTCCTTTACTTGAGAGTTCTGTAAAGAGTGTTCAGGTTAATGGCAGTCCTGGTGGGGGGACCCCGTACAGGAAGAGTGGCCGTGGATATCACTGAAAGTATCTAGCGATCCTGCTAGACTTCAAGATGACAAAATGGGTAAATGTACAGAAAACAGATTCAGGTGGGCAGCTGTGTTGGTTTGAAGCAACAGAACAAAGTTTGAGTCCAGTGGCAGCTTTAAGACCAACAAAAAAAATGGGTGGGGGGGCATTTTTGCATGTGTGTGTGTGTGTGTGTGCCCATGCCTGGAAGTCATGGCAACCTCTGGCGACTCCTACTGGAGCATTGAGGACGTTCAGAGAAGTGGCTTGATAGACTACTTCTGGCCTCCCGGCCCTGGTATTCTCTGGCCTCCTATCCAAATACTTGCTTAGCTTCCGAGATCTGACGAGAATTAATCAATCAACTAAAGACTGGGAAAGCTCCTGGCCCTGATTTGATTCCCCCAGAGCTTTTAAAGATGGACCCAGAATGGTGGGTTGTACCTCTTGCTTCCCTCTTTACCATGATTAATCAAACAGGACTTATCCCTGACACCTGGCAGAATGCAATCGTAGTCCCGATTTACAAGAAAGGTGACTACACAATTCCCTCTAACTATAGGCCAGTTAGCCTCCTTTCCATCATAGGCAAATTGCACACCAAGCATCTACTAACCAAATTAATCTTCTGGATGTCTCAGCAGAGTGTCTTAGGCCCTGAACAACTGTGGTTCTGCAAAGGCAAATCTGCAATAGATCACTGTATTACCTTAGCGCATCTAGCTGGTAAATACACTACACCTAGAAACTCCAAACTTTATGCAACTTTCTTGGATCTTAAAGGAGCATTCGACTCAATTGATAGAGAGTTATTATGGACTAAATTGTACCAACTAGATGTGGAAAAGAGACTTCTCAAATTAATCATAATGCTACGCACCTCCACCACCTGTCAAATCAAATGTTCAACCACAGGGGAATTAACTCTGAAAATTCCCTTTAACAAAGGAGTTAAGCAGGGATGCATACTTGCTCCTTCCTTATTTAATCTATTTCTCAATGATTTGGCCCCCGTTTTAGCGGAAGAAGACTGTCATTCTCCTAAATTGGGAACCCTTCGTGTACCTATCCTGCTATATGCGGATGATACAGTACTACTCTCTTGCATGAGGGTAGGGCTCAGACATCTGTTGAACAGATGTCTTAGTTATTTTCTTGAGAATAAATTACTCCTGAATTATGAGAAATCCAAGATTTTAGTATTCACTAAGTCCTGTAAAATTCAAAAATGGACATTTGACGGAAAAGAAATTGATCAGGTTAAGCATTTTTAATATCTAGGTCTCCACTTCAGTTATAACATGTCCTGGTCTTGCCATCTCAAATCTATGATTAACTTAGCCTCGATCAGCTGCTTTAAAAGTTTTTAAGGCTAAAGTGATCCCACAGCTATTGCACAGTATTCCAACATGGATAAGTGCCCTCGAGACCGGTATTGAAAGAATCCAATCCAAATTCATTAGGAAAATTATGGGTCTGCCATGCTGCGTCTCATATGCCGCTCTCTGTTTAGAAATAGGCCTTAACATGATAGAAACAAGAGTATGGCTTATATCAATTAAATACTGGTTACGAGTGCACTACTTTGCTGACTGTGGGAGTTTCTTATACCAAATGCTGTCTGCAGGGGTCATTTCGTAGAAAAAGAGGTGCAGGAGCTCATTAGCATAACTCATTAGCATAACTTATTCGCATATGTCACACACCCTGACATCACCGGAAATGTGTCAGAAGGCAACACCCACCGCTCAGGCTCCACTGGACTGTTTTGGATTGCTAGCTATTGTGGGGGGGACGTGCAGATCTGTCCTCGCAGAGGAGGGAGAGCTTGTACCTGAATAAAACTTGGTCTTAAAGGTGCCACTGGACTGTTTTGGATTGCTAGCTGGGGGGGGGGGATGCACAGATCTCCCCTCACAGTGGAGGGAGAGCTTGTACCTGAAGGCGGGCCTGGGCGGGGCTCTGCAACTTACCTAGCTGCTTCTTGCTCTGACTGAGGGAGCAGGGGGTGGGGCTTGTTGCATGTGCCCGCCCCCTGGGCTCTTTACTGCCGGAGCTCCGCTCCTGTGCGCTCCTGCAGGAATTGACCCCTGGCTGTCTGAATCCACCTCATCCAAATGGATTGCCTACATAGAGAAGAAAACAATTACAATGGGCCTGGAAGTCAGGGCAACCTCTGGTGACTCCTACTGGAGCATGGAGGATGTTCAGAGAAGTGGCTTGATAACCTACCTCTGGCCTCTCCCGGCCCTGTTATTCTCTGGCCTCCTATCCAAATACTTGCTTAGCTTCCGAGATCTTCCGAGATCGGGGTGCCTGGGCTATCCAGGTCAGGGCAAGAGCAACAAAGTTTAATTCTGGGGTGTAAGCTTTTGTGTGCATGTGTGCAAATGGAAGCTTATGCCCAAAATTAGATTTTGTTGGTCTTAAAAGTGCCACTGGACTCAAACATTGTTCTGTACAGAAAACAGGATTCCATGCAAAGAATGCAGCAGAGGGCCTTACAAATCATGAGGTTTACCAAGAGATCTCTTCTGCCCAGTACCCACTGATGGAAAGTAATAAATCAACTTTCACTGTTTGTAATCTGCTTAAAAGGAAAATGCACATTTAGTGAAATGGTTCGCTAATATTTAATAAACCAAATCATTCCTTTAACTTCTGGTGCCTTTTTCTTCTTTAAAGCTTGATTTTTTTGAGTCCAACTGTGGATTTCACGAATTTCTGGGAGGTACTTTGGATCGTGGGAATCACAGACTTTGTCCTGAAGTTCCTCTTCATGAGTTTCAAATGCATCGTTCTCTTGTTGCCTTGTTTAATAATGTCATTTAAGGCCAAGGTAAGACAATGAATCTTTTAATGCCAGACATAAGATGTTAACACTCTTAAAATGTGTATTTGAAAGCAGGGATGCTAAAATACATCACAGTTTGGGCAGAGAAGACCTTAGTGCTGGCAAGTCCTTGGACAGGGTCCACAGATGTAGAACTTCCAGGAAACTTTGGGAAAAAATTGAAATCTAGGCAGTACTTACTTTCTTATGACCCCCTAAGCAGTGTTCCCTCTAAGTTGAGTTAGTGTGAGCTAGTTCACAGTTTTTTAGCCTCCGGCTCACACATTTTTGTCTTAGCTCAGGAAGGATGGCTCTAGAGCAAACTGATTTATGCAGTAGCCAAACTGTTTGCTCACAGCTTTAATGCCAGCAGCTCACAAAGTAGAATTTTTGCTCCGCAGCTTAGAGGGACCATGGCCCCTAAACTTATTTTACTGCTTTAACACTAAATGCATTGTTTATAACTGTCTTTTCCCACACAAACCTACCTGCTCACTCTAGTCAACTTCAGAGGCCCTGCTTGGGTTGCCCCAGCTTGGGTTGCCACAGCTCACTTTGTGAGATACTGCTCACGAAAGCTCCTACCCTGCCACAGATCCTGTTAATCTTTGTGGTGCTCCTGGACTCTTGCTCTTTTCTACTGTAGTATTCACAGGAATTATTCTCTAATGGTGTAGATGGTTTTACATGAAAATTTTCATGCTACACATTTGGAGTGAGTAAGTATTTCACTCATTCCAAAAGAGAAAAACAAATGGAGTATTTTTCATTGCTCCCCCAAATTTTCAAGTTCTTCTGCTGGAAATATGGGGGGGGGGGGGGAGACTCCTCTGAAAAAAAAAATTTCCCTGGGTCTTCCCATTGCTAAGGAGTCTTCCTCATCTTTGGCGTAGGAATACTCAGCCAAAAATATTTTATGAAACTTTTCGAAAGGGAGTCTCCATCAGTGACTTTTGGGAGGTTGTTGCCATCACTTGGCCATTCCTCATTGGCCCAGTATTATTCATGTGACTGATGTAGTCAGTGTTGTCCTCACTCAAAATGGGGTTAATTTATCTTGAGTGATGACAGCCCATAACCAAATGTGGCTGGCTAAATAGAAGAAGAGGAGATTGGATTTATACCCCGCCCTTCACTACCCAGAGGAGTCTCAGAGTGGCTTACAATCTCCTTTCCCTTCCCCTCCCCACGACAGACACCCCGTGAGGTAAGTGGGGCTGAGAGAGCTCTGAGAGAAACTGCTCTTTTTCAAGAATAGCTGTCCTGGAACTACGGCTTTCCCAAGGTCATCCAGCAGGTGCAAGTGGAGGAGTGGGGAATCAAACCCGGTTTTCCCAGATTAGAGTCCGCGCACTTCACCACTACACCAAACTGGTGTTATGACATCCTGTCTGCTACTTCATCCTGGTTTGGCTGGTATCACTAAAACAGAGGGGGGGAATGAAGCTGAAGTAGCAAGGGAGGGGAGAGTAGCTGAGAACCGTCGCAAAAGGCCACAAGAAAGTAAGATTAAATGTTTGGGAAGAGTTCAACGCCTCCCCCCCCCCCCCCATTTATCACTAATTTTGGAGGCAGAGAGTCAACACGACGACTGTAGTCTGGAACCAGCGAATTCACGGCCGAGAACTCAGAGATACACACAGAGCAGATAGCTCAAGAAACAGAGCTAGCTTATGTAGTCGAGGGATTTAGCATCTAGAAAACATCTTCAGGATTCAGCATATAACCAGAAGAATTTCCCCCCCCCCTGTAGGGTTACTGGTATATGCTGTTGGAAGAAATCTGCCAGTATTACCGTAAAATCGTCCCTATACCCATCTGGTTCCGCTATCTTGTTGGCTTGAGGGAGCAAGAAAGTGCGCTCGGATGGAGTCTTGGCATCTTGCTGGCTCTGCTGTATCTGATCCTAAAGGTAAGCCCTTAGTGCTAAGCTTGCAAAATTCTCTGCTGCTGAATTTCTCCACCAAATACGATCAGTCCGCTTATCAGCTCAGTACATAGAAGTAGACCTCACTGCATTTTCTTCCGTACTCTTATTTTTCTGCCTACAAAATGATTGTTTTTGAAGTCTTTTTAATCATCTTCCCAGCCTAGCCCAATGGTCAAGGGACAAAAGCCATAATAATCTACAAAAATCAGTAACACACATGAAAAACATTTATAGTTGCAGGAATAAGATAAAACCATGCCCTTGTCCCTAATTTTATGTCAAATATCTTCCAAAAATTGAATGTTTTTCACGCTCCTTTGGAAGGCTTGGTGGGACAGCCCCACTCTCTGGGGAAGGCAGTTGCACCAACCAGGGGGAGTGGCTGAAAAAGCCCTATGGAAGGTTCAGGCCCGACTGTCTTCAGCACCCACTGGTCCCCTGCAGGACAGCAGCATTCGATTAGCTCAGTGCCGGGGCAGGCTGATAGGAGCGGAGGCGGCAGCCCTTCAGGTACTTGAGGTAAACGACCCGTGCCATTTAGGGCTTCAACAGGGTTTAGAAAAACAGGAAGAGACAGTAGAACTGGAGTACCACTGGCTTTGTGTGATGTTCACCGCACACCTCAGTATCTGTCTTGCTGTGCTTTGGACCAGCTGAAGCTTCTGTTTCAGAGGGTAGCCGTGTTGATCTGCAGTAGATCAGCCGGATGCTAGTCCAGTACTGCCTTAGAGACCAACCAGATTTTCGGGATACAAGCTTCGTCAGATACAAGTTGGAATGGAGATCCCTGAGTTCTTATAGCTCAGTCAGAAGGTGGGGGAGGGTTGCGATGAAGGGACTTGGGCCGCAAAATTTCTGAAAAGTCTTCAAGAAGCACATTACAGGGTGGGGGGACGTGGCGTTGCGTCGGAACAAGATGGACGCCTGAACCGTAAACTCCCGATCCAGGCCCGCCCCCCTTCTCATCGCACAAACTTTGATTGAAAACCTACCTGTAATATGGGAAGATCGTCTGGACATAAGGGGAGAACCGCGGGAGCGAACACAAGGTCTGTAACGTCCTTTTCCCCGCCTTGTCTTAGCCCGTCCCCTCCGGAGATCTCTCAAGCTAGAGCCGACAAAATGGCGGCCGGAGATGACAGACACCGGGGGGAGGGCTCACGGTCTCCCACGAGGAAGAAGCGTGTTACAGGAATGGATGTCACCTAGGCACCCGTGACTAAGAGGAGGTCTGTTTAAGGGCCTGCAGGTAGTGGAACTGCTTCGTTGGCTGTCCGGGCACGACATGGAATCAGGGGAGCAGGCTGTAGGCCACATTTCCCCGAGAATCATCAGATAGTTAAAAAGTATTCAAATGAATCTGACAAGCAGACAGTTCATCGTTCTTGTTAACCTGGAGTCTGAGTCAAAGTGAGCAGTTTTATCTATAAAGCACTTAGCAAGCTGGACACAGTGAGACATTAGGGGTTCTGCCCAGATGTGACAAGCCTCTTCCCCGCCCTAAGCAGCATCACTGGATGATGTTCAGGCGCAATGGCTGCAGAGAAGTATTTCTCTTTCACCGCCCTTCTCACGGTAGAGGGGGCTCCCCGATGCACTTTGCATTCAGCTGGATCCAGCCCGACTGTTCCTCCACTGCCGCTCAACCTGGTGCTTCATATCCAGTCCAGTTCTTCAACTCCTATGATTCTTTTACAAACCAAGGCCTGAACTTGAAGCAATGTGAGGGAGAAGCAGCTCAGGAGAAACTGAGTTATGTATTTATCAAGCTGGCTTTGATTTTCTCAGTGCAATGGGTTGGATCTGACCACCTTTTCCATTGGTGAAAAGGGCAGGGGGGGGGTCTCCTTTGACCACCCAAAAAAGAGAAAAGGATATGCTGAGGATCATGAGACCTACATGGACAAAAGCCACGGGGGGCTGGGGCTGTAGTGAGGAAGGAGGACCAGGTGAGAGACTGAGCGAGAAGGCTGGCTAGATTCAATCCATTGCCTATTGGCTGAGCAGAAACGAATGTCGATGTTTCTCTTCATGTTCCATCCCCAAACAAGCCTCCCTCATACAGACACGTGCGACTTCAGTGTTTGTTCAGCAGACAAAATACGACATTGGATCAATGTTCCCTCTAAGCTGTCAAGGCTTGTGAGTAAAAATTCAACTTTGTGAACTACTGGCAATAAAGTTGTGAGTGAGCAGTTTGGCTACTACATAAATTAGCTTGCTCTGGAGCCCTCCTTCCTGAGCTAAGACAAAAACATGTGAGCCAGAGGATAAAAACTGTGAGCTAGCTCACACTAACTCAGCTTAGAGGGAACACTGCATTGGATAGAAAAGTAATATACACTTCCGGACACATTTTTGGGCAAAAATGTTTAAAAAATAGAAAAGGATCTAGAGATTGGAGCAGTAAATCAGAGGACGGAACGGAGCCAGGGAAATTCATTCCTCCCTAGTTAAGTAGGTGACACAGAGGTCTTGGAGTCTCACTCCTCCTTCAGTTGAGATTTCTCTGTTCCCCATCCCAACCAGTGTTCCCTCTAAGCTGAGTCAGTGTGAGCTAGCTCACAGTTTTTTAGCCTCTGGCTCACACATTTTTGTCTTAGCTCAGGAAGGATGGCTCCAGAGCAAACTAATTTATGCAGTGGCCAAATCGCTTACTCACAACTTTAATGCCAGCAGCTCACAAAGTAGAATCTCTGCTCACAAGACTCCACAGCTTAGAGGGAACATTGATCCCAACTAACAAAACTGTTAAACACTGATTTTTTTCTTTTTAAAAAGCTTGAGTAACTGGAGACATCACCGACGTCCGTAAGACTCCCAGTAAAGGGCCCCCGCATTTAGTTATGTTTGCTCAGGAACCTCAGCTGCCTTATTAGTGTGTCTAGATTCTGTTTTGCTGAACTAGGCAGCAAGACTGGTAGGGAGACAACCGTTGCAGACAATTTTCTCAGCCTCCACCATCTCCCTTTTGCAACATGGACAAACAAATGTCCAGAGCAGTTTGGAGGCATAAATGCTCTTCTGAGAGAAAGGGGGGCTTGCTTTGGATTCAGCTCCGTGATTTGGATCATGCAGTGAGTCTTTTAGACTGGGTGCCTACAGGCAGTGCCCTGTGATTTCTATTTATTTATTTATTTTTTAAAAATCAGGAATGTGTATCCCCTCATTTCCAACCTGGTGGAGTTCTAAGGCAGCAGGCAAGAAAAAGCAGGCACAAACAAATTAAAATATAGCCTCATGTAGCAGCAATTAAAATATAACAATAGTTAGCAGGATGTTGACCAACACATATGAAACAGCCTCTTACCCTGTAAGTTGATCTCCTGGGGCTCGGGTAGAGAAAAGCTTTCCCCCCACAACACCCGCTGTTAGATCTTTTCAATGGGATATGCTGAGACTTTCTGCACGTGCTGTATCACTTTGCCACGGCCCCTCAAATGTCATATGTAGTGAAGGCCACAGGAATAAACAATTTTAAAAAGGGATTAGATAGATTCATGGAGGAGAAGTCTGTCAATGGCTCCGAGCCACGGTGGCTGAGGGGAACCTCCATGTTCAGAGGCACTAAGCCTGTAAATCCCAGTGTCAGGAGGCAACATCAGGGGAAGGCCTCAGTCTCTGTGCCCTGTCATTGGCTGTCCAGAGGAACTGGTTGGTCGCTGTGTGAGTCGGGATGCTGGACTGGATGGACTACTGGCCTGATCCAGCAGGGCTCTAATGATGTTCTTGTCCTGACCCATCCTTTGACATTAATTCATAAAAACAACCTGCATCATGCTAAATGACCCAAATTATAAGCCCCCCCCCCTTCTCATCGCACAGTGAGGAGATTCTTACTCCATTATTGGATAAGATTCTTGGTTTTACTAAAAAAAAGCGAAGCTTGATTAACTTTTATGTGATGAGAACCCTAGGATTACGCACCCAGTAACCAAATTCTGCATGTTAATACTTAGGCTACAGAAATCGTATCCACCAGGTTTAAGTTTTAATGAGATCATGTTTTATTCTATAAATGTCGTTAATTTCGTAAACTGTTAAACATGTTTGGTCAAGTGACTGTGACAATGAAGGACTGAACGGACCCCTTTGGTCCAGTCAGCTCAGTGCTGTCTGCGGGCTGATGACAAGCTGCTCTACGGGATCTCAGCCAGAGTGAGGTGTCCTTCCGAGCACCAGCTGCTGGGGACTGGTTTAATTGAAAAGTGCCCGGGGCCATAAGAACATAAGAACATAAGAGATGCCAATGTTGGATCAGGCCAAAGGCCCATCCAGTCCAACACTCTGTATCCCACAGTGGCCAGAAATACCAGGTGCCATCAGGAGGTCCACCAGTGGAGCCAGGACATTAGAAGCCCTCCCACTGTGGACCCCCCCAAGCACCAAGAAGACAGAGCATCACTTGCCCCAGAGCCCCTATCTATACCTTGTGGCTAATAGCCACTGATGGACCTCTGCTCCATATGCTTATCTAATTCCCTTTTGAAGCCGTCCATGCTTGTAGCCGCCACCACTTCCTGTGGCAGTGAATTCCAAGTGTTAATCACTCTTTGGGTGAAGAAGTACTTCCTTTTATCCGTTCTAACCCGACCGCTCAGCAATTTCATGGAGTGCCCACGGGTTCTTGTATTGTGAGAAAGGGAGAAAAGTACCTCTTTCTCTACCTGCTCTTTCCCATGCATAATCTTATAAACCTCAATCATGTCACCCCTCAGTCGTCGTTTCTCCAAGCTAAAGAGCCCTAAGCGCCTTAACCTTTCCTCATAGGGAAAGTGTTCCAACCCTTTTATCATTCGAGTTGCCCTTTTCTGCACTTTTTCCAAAGCTATAATATCCTTTTTAAGGTGTGGTGACCAGAATTGCACACAGTATTCCAGATGAGGTCGCACCATTGATTTATATAGCGGCATTATGATATTGGCTGATCTGTTTACAATACCCTTCCTAATAATCCCCAGCATAGCCTTCTGCAGCCAAAGCGGGTGCTGCTGCAGCAGTGGCCAGCAGCCTCCTCCCCGTGCCAGGCCCTCTAGCCGGACAAAGAGTCCTCTCAAGGTTCCATCCAGAAGAGACTGCGAAGGACAGAGCGCAAAACACAGATCACCCCCATGTGCCAGTCAATGCCAAAAAAAAAAAAGTGCTCACGCTAATGCAAGCCAGGAAATTTTAACCGAGCACTTTTACGTTCTTTAAACAGCAATAAGACTTTAATTGGGAAGATGGCAAGGATCAAAACTGTGTTTTTTTCTGACCAAAGAGAAGCTAAGTGTGATCGTTCCCCATTCTCTTTACTTTTCAGCTTTTGAGCTTTTTTGCACACCTGAAGCACTTCCGATGGGTTCTGAGAGTGTTTTATTCCCAGCCGGTGAGTACGAAAAAACAGACTCGAGAACCCAGGGTGGGAGAAGGGAACAGTTGTCAGCCGGGAAATGCTGTCCCTTCAGCACGAACAGGCGGCTTTACAAAATGACCTCACTCACTCAGAGCCACAGTGTGTGTGTGTGTGTGTGGGGTCTAAGAGGAAGAGTCCGTGGTGGCTCAGCCAGGGGTGCCACCGGAGGCCTGCTGCCCCCTTCGTGCTTTTGCATTTATTTATTGACATCCTGCTTTTTTTCTCCCCACAGTGGGGACTCAAAGCATCTTTAGGACATGGCTCTCCCCTCCTCCGTTTTCTCACAACAGCCCTATGAGGTAGGCCAGGCTGAGTCTGTGATGGGCCCCAGGTCACCCAGCGAGCTCCCATAGCAGGAGTGGGGATTCAAACCTGGGTGGCCCAGGGTCGTAGCCTGCCACCCTAGCCACTACACCACACTGGCTCTCCTTCCCTCCTTGGCTTGCCACGCAAGGCTTGCTGTGCTGGGAAGCCAAGAGAAAAAGGGAGTATTCGGTGCTCTGGTTCCTGCAAGGGCCAGCAGCGAGGTGGAGTCTGTCACCCCCACCCCCCATCTACCACTTGCCCCATTACAGAGCCGCCATGGGAACAAGGTCCAGTGGCTAAGCTCTGAGTGACAGCAGCTAAGATACCCTGAGACTTCCCAAGTAAGAAGAATTGGTTGGAGAGGAAAGCTGGGAACTACACAGGGTGCGTCATTCCAAGGTTCCATTCGATGTCCATGTACACAAGTCCCTTGATTTAAGGAACAGCTGTTTCCTCACTGTCATGAATGAAAACTCTTTGCAGTAAGCAAGCCTGTTTGGCCCCATAGCTGGGGGTGGGGCAAACTGAGAGCCAGCTTGGTGTAGTGGTTAAGAGCGGCAGGACTCTAAGCTGGAGAACCAGGTTCGATTCCACGCTCTTCCACATGCAGCCAGCTGGGTGACCTTGGATCAGTCACAGTTCTCTCAGAGCTCTCTTAGCCCCACCTACCTCTGTTGTGGGGAAGGGAAAGGAGATTGTAAGCTGCTCTGAGACTCCTTCGGTAGTGCAGGGCAGGGTATAAAACCAGCTCTTCTTCAAGACGTGCTGCCATCACTCAGCACTTCAAAGCTGCTGTGCTGTGTGTAAAACTGGCAACCTGTTGGAAAATGGATCTCTCCTTTGAGAGCTACTGTAGTGTCCCAGCAAAGGTGATGCAGGGAGGACCCCACTTCAAATCTCACCTCTGTTCTAGGCAAGCCAATCTCTCCTCCTCCTCAACCATCCATCTACAAAATGAGAGACTACCATCAGCCTACCTGACATGGCTGTTAGTAACAACGCTCTTGCTGCTACTAATGCATCTCTTGCAGCCCCCACCTGTCAAAATTCCCAAGTGCCAAAGCCACATCCTTGCATTCTTCTCCAGGTTTTGTGAAATATTTCCGATAGCACTGTCCTTTCTTCTCCCTTCTGCCACTTTGCAGAGCTACGGCGTGGCCGCCAGCAAGAGGCAGTGCGCCGACGCAGACGACATCTGCTCTATCTGCCAAGCTGAGTTCCAGAAGCCTGTTGTTCTCATCTGCCAGGTAATGCTCAGTTGTCTTCCACAAGTTCATCAGTGGACTCCAAAGCTGGGGAACCAGCAGCACTAAATGGCTGCAGTTGGCATAGGAACAAATTGGTGTTTCAGCATGGCAGACTCATCATCTCTGCAAATATTATTGCAGTTTTTTGTGTCTAATGTTGACATGATATTTACAAACTCATGCATGAGATGGAGAAAGTAGAGAAAGATGTACTTTTCTCCTTTTCTCACAATGCAAGAAATCATGGGCACTCAGTGACATTAATGAGCAGTAGGCTTAGAACAGATAAAAGGAAGCAGTTCTTCACCCAAAGGGTAATTAACATGTGGAATTCACTGCCGCAGGAAGTGGTGGCGGCTACAAGCATAGACAGCTTCAAGAGGGGATTGGATAAATGTACTGAGCAGAGGTCCATCAGTGGATATTAGCCACAAGGTATAGATGGAACACTGTCTGGGGCAGTGATGTGCTTGGTGCTTGGGGGGGGCAACAGTGAGAGGGGTTCTGGAGTTCTGGCCCTGCTGGTGGACCTCCTGATGGCACCTGGGTTTCGGCCACTGTGTGACTCAGAGTGCTGGACTGGATGGGCCATTGGCCTGATCCAGCATGGCTTTTGTTATGTTTTTATATAGTATCTTAAATATGCTATATATGCAGACTGTGGTTATGTTGTAGAGACAGGAAGGTCAGGCTTACCGTTTCTTCCCTTAGTGGACAGAGGGTTGTGGGGAGGGCCTTGGCTCCGTGGCAGAGCACCTGATTTGCACTCAGAAGGTCCCAGGTTTGATCCCCAGCATCTCCAGTTGTAAGGATCAGATAAGTGATGTGAAAAACCTCAGCCTGAGACTCTGAAGAGCCGCTGCCAGCCTTCAGTAGACAACACCGCTGCTCTTGGATCGTGATAAATTCTGAACTGAACTGAGTAGATAACATGAACCTTGATAGACCAAAAGTCTGATTCAGTATTAAGGCAGCTTGGTGTGTTCAATGTGTATTTTTGTGAGGCTTACGCACCTACTGTATTCGCAGGTTGAACCCATGCATCCCTATTACTGTTTTGGTTGCATTTGTGTCCCATCTCAAGGAAATCAAGGTGGCTTATTTAGGGTTCCTGGGTAGTCTC